TGAAGAAGCTGTAACGGCCAGGTAGGATTACAGCATCCTGATTGGACACAACAGATGCTGCCGCTCGTTCCCCTCCAAGGTGTGAGGCGGCGGGTGAAAGGGTCGGACCCTGATCACCCTTGACCTAAAGGCCGAAGCAACGACCTTAGGCAGAAAGGCTGGATCCGGCCAAAGCTCCACCACACCATCCTTAGCACCAAACACCAGACACTCCGGGTGAATGGAGAGTGCGCATAGTTCACCTGTCCTCTTGGTTGAAACCAGAGCCAGTAAGAGGGCAGTCTTGAGAGCCACACACTCGAGGCTGGCCTGAGCCACAGGCTCGAAGGGAGATCCTGATAAACCCCTCAAGACCACCTTGAGGTCCCAGAGCGGAGGCGTTCTACGGAGAACGTGCCTCTTCCTGTGGGCCCCCCGAAGGAAATGTTTGACCAGCGGGTGGGAACGGGCCGAAAGGTCCTGAACCCTCCGTGGCCGGAGGCAATGGCTGCCGCGAACACCGCCAGGGTGCCGGCAGCCCTCCCCTTCTCCAGCAGTTCCTGTAGGAACCCCAGTACCCCTTCCAGTGGGCAGGACATGGGGTCCCTCGCACCCTGAATGGTCTCCACCACCGACTAGGGGAGACCCAGACCTACGAGATTCCGCCTCTCAGCCTCCAGACCCACACTCTGTGGCCCAGCATTGGGGGCGAGTGAAGCGTCCCTCCTCCCTGGACCAGAGCCCCGGGCTCGTCCGGGAGAGGCCAAGGTTTCCTCACTGCCATGCCCCTCAGGAACGGGAACCCGCGGGCTGTCCGGGGCGATGAGAATCACTTCCCGACCCTCCTGCTCGATTCTCCTCAGAAGGACTGGCAAGAGGCGAGTCGGGGGAAACGCATAAGGAGGCCCCTTGTCCGCGGGCCGTAGCGCGAACCAGAGTGGGCACAGCGCGTTGTCTGTACTGGCGAATAGGTCGACCCCCGGCCGACCGCACCTCAGCCATACCTGCGCCGCTATCTGCGGGGCCAGGCCCCACTCCTACCTGAGTGGGCCTCCCCTGGACATTAGATCCGCCCCTGTGTTCCTGTCTCCGGGAACATGGCGGGCCCTGAGAGACAGCAGATTCACAACCGCCCAGAGCAGAATGCTGGCTGCCAGGCAATGGAGACCGGGGGACCTCGTGCCCCCCTGCCTGTTCACGTAGGCCACGACGGTGGTGTTGTCCGAACGCACCATCACGCGCCTCCTCTGCAGCAGCGGAGCAAAGTGCAGCAGCACCCTGCGCACAGCCTCCATCTCCAGTAGGATGATGTGCGGAGATGGGTCTGTCCAGAGCCCTCCCACGGAGCTCTGACCCAGAACCCCTCCCCACCCCTCGAGAGAGGCGTCCGTGAACACTTCCACGTGTGACACGGTGCCTATCAGGGGAACCCGGTCCCGCATCTGACCCCGGGGTGAGCCAGAACCTGATGCCTGGTCTCACCCCGGAGGGAACTACGAGCATCGTCGCTGCGTCCCAGGAGGTGTGAATTCTGAGACCTGAGAACCGCCTCTGAGATCCTCTCATGTGGAGAACCCCCAGACGTACCACCACATGGGCCGCCCCCATCATCCCCAGGAGCGATCTGAAACGTCGAGCAAACATCCTGGGGGCGGTCAGCGCCGTGGTGGCCAGTCGTGAGATGCTCTCCTGTCTGTCCACGGATAGAGCAGCTCGAAACTCCATCGAGTACAGTAGCAGACCGAGACAGAGCGCGCGCTGGGCAGGCTGTCCCCTGCTCTTCATTCTGTTTACCACAAAGCCCAGCTGCTGTATGTGGGACAGAACCCAGCGCTTGTGACCCAGAGCCACTTCCTTGGACTGGGTCAGAATCTACCAATCGTCTTTGTAGGTTAAAATTCTGACTTCCCCGCTATTCGTAGCAGCTCTCTCCCACAACGAAGCGCAGAAGCGTCTGTGCTCTGGCACTATCGCTACGTGGAAGTAGGCGTCTGTCAGATCGATGGTAGACATCCAGTTGGGAACCAAGAAGTATGGGGAGTACAGCCCCCCTTTGAGCGTCTTGCGGGTCGACCTCGACCGCAGCGCCTCTTATTACCTCCTCTTTGAGAGCCTAGTCTGTGCCATGTCGGTGGTGGTCTCCTCGCGAACTGCAGAGCATAGCCTCTGCGCAACGTCTTGTCCAACCACACGTCTGAGAGGAGTCCCTGCTCTCTCCAGACCTGGTAAAGGACGTGAGAGGTGGCACCGGACTCGTGACACCTGACCCTAATGCCCCCCCACTCTCCTGGTGCCATCACAGGAGAGGGGGGTTCCCTAAAGGGCCGAGGGTCTCTGTGTGTCATGCAGTGCGCGACAGATGAGTTCTCCCTCACTGTCTCGCTAATCACACTAAGCCTCCGTGCCGTGCGGGACATATGGCTCTGCCACCATCGTCCCGCCTATAGCAGCCTGTCTCTTTGCTCTGCTGCGCGAGACAGAGGAGTTCTTACTCTCTGTCTCGCTCATAGCAGCGAATCCCAATGCTGTGCTGTGTGGGACGAACGGACCCTGCTCCGTTGCCCTGGTAACAACAGCCTGCCTCTTACGCTTCAGACCCATACCAAATGGGGAAGTGTGAGAAATAGCGGAGCTAGGGGTAGAGGTCATAGGCCTCCCCTTAGTGAGACCCTCGCGCTTCAAAACTCCCTGGAGAGATGAAGCGCTAGGCCTGCTGGTACCTAGAGCGGTGGTCTGAGACTGGCACTGCAAACCACCCTCTGTGAAGTGTGCCTGGACTGTAGGTAAGACCACACTGCCCTCTACCTGTGACGGCATGTGGTGCAAGAGAACAGATGACAGAGACACTGGATAAGCGTAATCTTTTCTTTTATTGACAAAAGATTTTCCCCCGCACTTTCCTCCACCGAAGGGAGGGCGACGCTGGAAGGTCTGGTCTCGTGGGCCTCCGGAGGTCCACTCCTGGCAATTTTTATCTTTATGAGCCACGCGGTGCTCTCTCTCTCCTCCCAGGGGAGATAGCAGCACGCTCTGTGAGCAGCGCGTTCCTCAGAATGGACTCCTCCCGAGTGACCCCTCGTCTCTCCGCACTCCCCGGGTGCAGGAGACAGGTCGAGAGGGACAAACGAACCTCAGACTCCTCTTCCTGAGAGGAGTTTGGGCGAGATTCCACGGCGCTAGCATGAGCTACGCGGTGCTTTCTCTCTCCCCTCCCTGGGGAGATAGCAGTAGGCCCTGTGAGCAGCGCGCTCCTCTCTCCTTAAAAATGGCCGCCTCCCGTGTGACTAGAGACCTAGTCTTTGTCAACACGGTCTCCACAGCACAATCTCCACTGCCTGGGTGCAGGAGGCAGGTCGAGAGGGACATAAAGAACCTCAGGCTCCTCTACATGAGGGGAGTCTGGGCTAGCATCTGCGGCGCTAGCATGGGCCGCGCAGTGCTCTCCCTCTCCTCCCTGGGGAGATAGCAGCACGCCCTGTGAGCAGCGTGCTCCTCTTTCCTCAAAATGGTCTCCTCACGTGTGACTAGAGACCCCTAGTCTTGTCAACACGGTCTCCACAGCACAATCTCCCACTGCCTGGGTGGAGGAGGCCGGTCGAGAGGGTCATAAGGAACCTCAGACTCCTCTACCTGCGGGGAGTCTGGGCTAGCCTCTGCGGCGCTAGCATGAGCCACGCGGTGCTCTCTCTCCTGACTGGGGAGAAAGAGGCACACTCTGTGGGCAGCGCTCTCCTCTTCTTAGATAAGCTTACCTGGGCAAGCGCTGCACTCCCTAGTCCGACGCCGGAGGGCGAAGTGGAACTCGGACGAAGGCAGAAGGCAGTAACATCTGGATTCTTCAGAAGGTGAGTAGATCTCTCTCTATGGAGTGAAAAGTGGCAGGTGCGGGCTGTAGAGGCCTATTTATAGATGGGACTGGCACGTGATTAGAGCGTTGATTTCTCTCTGGCGGGAAGCTCTGGGCTTCTTGAGTGTACCCACAGCGAAGCCTAAGTGGCGTTAGCACCATGCTGTAGAACTAACTGGGCAATAAGTGGCTACATAGATAGCCTTTCCTTTGTTAACGCAGTGATGAAGCAAAATGGTTTATCAGTATAAGACATGTATTATGAATGTTTTACTTAATTTGACATTCACTACAATCCTATTGCCAACTGGTATTACACTACTCCACAACAGGTATTTGAACTCTGTATATAATCAATATGCCTGTGTGAACACTGTGGACCAAGATACATCATCAGTTACAGAACTGTAGGAATGAGGAGCACCCGGTACAGGAGATGTGGGAAACAACAAATAATATACTAAAATTAAATAAAGCTCTAACTTTTAATAAAAAAAACAAGTATAAAATGCTGTAGTGTAGTATTGTATAGTGTCATATACTGTATAGTCAGACACATATTGCATATCATAACTATTGCAGAGATGCACGTCATGTGAGGTCAGCAGTGTTTATCTAATATAGGACATATTGAATATGGAAGAGGTGTGTGATTGACAATTAACGTCTGCTTTTCCCTGTCTTTCAGTAAACCATCACAGCCTGTTTAGGACCAGTTCCTGCTCTCAGCACAAGCAGCTGTTCTGACAGATAGCTTCTGAAATATGCTGCTCAGAAACATGTGCCAAATCTGATTCTGTTCGATGCGAAAGGACTCGAAAATCAACCGTGGTTCAGGTCCAATCGCCGCTGCTTTGTCTTCTTTTGATTAATATGAACGCAATAAACTGTATAAAATGTATAAAAAGTTGTCATTATTAAATGGTTTTCATTTAATATTGTATATTTTTAATTGGGCATTTTTTTGCTTGATTACTCGATTAATCGAACGGTGTATTCGATACAATAATCGATTACCAAAATATTTGATAGCAGCTCTAGCTGTGTCCTCCTCTTTCCTACTATTCTATAACCTGTGATGCAACACTGAAATTTCCCCACTGTGGGACGAATAAAGGATCTCTTAATCTTAATATGAATCTAACAATCATACAGCTGTTCCGTTTATACTCACGATCATCATGAGCACCATGGGCCCCAGGTATATGATGAAGAAGAAGAAAGAGATCATCGCCAGGGTCAGGATGCCCCTCACCCACCAGTTCTTCCACCTGACAACACAGAGCTGATCATGTGAGTTCGCGGAGTTTGACAAAGTGTACATGTGTGAAAGAAAAACAACTTAAATCTGTGGAACCGAACACTTGTATTGAAGACACAGCACTGCTTGTGTACAAGTGTCTTCATGGCCTCACACCAAAGTACAGTGCCTTGCAAAAGTATTCACCTCCCTTGGCATTTTGGGTGTTTTGTTGCCTCACAAAAAGGATTTAACATGGTTTGAGGATTTGCATCAGTTAATTTACAGAACATGCCCACAACTTTGAAGATGTTGCCTTTCTAAACCATATAATAGGAGTATTGGTCAGGTGCTAATATGTATGAAGGTGTGTTCTGAATGTACATGAACTTGTGTGTATAAGTGGTGTGTATTTGTATATACTGTATATGCAGGGGTGTATGTATGAATGGACATATGTAGGTGTACCTATGTATATGTATGCAAATAAATGTGGGTGCCCTCTTTATTTATTTATTTATTCTTACTAACTATTTTTTGTAATTATTTATATTTTCTCTTTTTTTTTACTTGCATTTATTTTTCTCTCTTTATGAACTTATATACTTATTTACCCTTTATACATAGCTAAACAAAATACTATGAGAATCACTCTGTCAACCTGGAGACGAATTGGGGAGGAAGGGTGGGTTGTATATAAAAAAATATAAAAAACACACAGACTGTACTTGCTGTCAACAACTGTAAATGCATTTAATCCTGTGTGTAACAAACAAAAAATATAAAAATAAAAGAAGGTGTCTTTTTTTATTGTGAAGCAAACAACAAACAGAACAAAATAACAGAAAAGGTCAATGTGCATAACTATTCACCCCCCTAAAGTCAATACTTTGTAGAGCCACCTTTTGCAGCAATCACAGCTCCAAGTCGCTTTGGATAAGTCTCTATGAGCTTGCCACATCTTACCACTGGGATGTTTGCCCATTCCTCCTTGCAAAACTGCTCCAGCTCCTTCAAGTTGGATGGTTTGCTCTTGTGAACAGCAATCTTTTAGTCTGACCACAGATTTTCTATTTGATTGAGGTCTGAGCCTTGACTAGGCCATTCTAACACATTTACATGTTTCCCCTTAAACCACTGAAGTGGTTTAGCAGTGTGTTTGGGGTCATTGTCCTGCTGGAAGGCAAACCTCCGTCCTAGCCTCAAATCACTTAGAGTGGTACAGGTTTTGCTCAAGAATGAGCAAAACCTGTACCACCATGTAATTAGCACCATCCATCTTTCCCTCAACTCTGACCTGCTGAAAAACATCCCCACAGTATGATGCTGCCACCACCATGTTTCACTGAGGGGATGGTGTTCTTTGGGTGATGTGATGTGTTGGGTTTGCGCCAGACATAGCGTTTTCCTTGATGGCCGAAAAGTAAAATTTTAGTCTCATCAGACCAGAGCACCTTCCTCCATACATTGTGGGAGTCTCCCACATGCCTTTTCGCAAACTCAAAACGTGCCATTTAGTTTTTTGCTGAAAGTAATGGCTTTATTCTGGCCACTCTGCCATGAAGCCCAACTCTATGAAGCGTACGGCTTATTGTCGTCCTATGTACAGATACTCCAGTCTCTGCTGTGGAACTCTGCAAATCCTCCAGGGTTACCTTAACTGTATGTGATACCTCTCTGATTAATGCCCTCCTTGCCCGGTTCGTGAGTTTTGGTGGGCAGCCGTCTCTTGCCATGTTTGCTGTTGTCCCATGTTCTTTCCATTTGGTTATGATAGATTTGATGGTGCTCCTGGGGACCATCAAAGATTTAGATATTTTTTTATAACCTAACCCTGACTTGTACTTCTCAACAACACTGTCCTTTACTTGTTTGGAGAGTTCCTTGGTCTTCATGGCAGTGTTTGGTTAGTGGTTCCTCTTGCTTAGGCGTTGCAGCCTCTGAGGCCTTTCAAAAAAGGTGTGTATATGTACTGACAGATCATGTGACACTTAGACTGCACACAGGTGGACATCATTTCACTATTTATGTGACTTCTGAAGGTAATTGGTTGCACCAGAGCTTTTTATGGGCTTCATAACAAAGGGGGTGAATACATATGCACATGCCGGTTTCCAGCTTTTTTTTTTCCTGAAAACTAGTTTTATGTATACATTGTTCTCGCTTCACCAACTTAGACTATTGTTTTCTGATCCATCACATGAAATTCAGATTAAAAAAACATTGAACTAAAGGCTGTAATGTAACAAAATAGGTAAAAAGCCAGGGGTGAATACTTTTGCAAGGCACTGTACATCTGTGACATGTTAGTGCCATATGAACTGTAACGTGGGGAGGCAGTCTTCAGGTGAAAACCCTTGGCAATGCACTCCAAAAGAGGGAAAAAGACTCGTTGCGCTCCACTTACTTTATTTAAAGAACAATGCCAGGTCCGCATATAATGCCATACATGAGTTATTTCACCGTACCACTTGTTACGTTTTAAGAGAGAGAAAATGCTGCCTCTGCTAACAGCATAACAACTTTTTCATACAGTATATATGCAAATAGCGCCATGCAGTGGTGCATGATATGGTGCTACAACCAAACTGACCTCTAAGGAGCACCGGTGATCGGAGTCAGGACTAAACATTTCAGATTCATGCAGCTATGTCTTCCTGAATATGTGAGACAGGCTTCTACTCCAACAATGTTCAAATCCAGGTTTGAATGATAGACAGCTGGAAAAGCAAAAATAAAAAAACAATTGTGGCGATTGTATTCAAAGAATAAGTTGTAAAGCCACTTGGTTCATAATAAAAACATGTGTTGACCTAACCATACCACATCAAATGTGTTTCAAGAATCTCCAGCATTAGTGCATTAATACTCTCATGCGTTTCAAATGTCAACATGTATAATAAAAGTAGCGAGTACACTTTAAATACACAAAAGAAAACTTATCCACAACTAACATGGCGCTCCCATGACCATTTAGCACAAGCATGTTTCCCATGTATTTTGACTGAAAGCCGAGTCCCTGTGCTGGCCTTGCAAAAATACCACCACTTGTTTACTTCTCACTCACATGAAATTAAAATAAATAATTAAGAAGTAGCTCTAAACTGTGTTTCATTGGGAAAATTTAAATAATTAAGAACTGACTTAAAGCAGGTGAGAAAATAAAACTAGTCGTTTCCACATCCCTACTGTATGTGAAGCTGCTTAGATCTGGTTCATCTGACACATGTGTGATGTGAGTGTCTGTACCTGGAGGACAGCCCAGACAGGGCCTTGTTGAGGACCTCGGGGGTGTCATCAGGAGGCACAGGCACCTCTGGCACCCCTGTCTCAGGCTTGGACTCTGTGTCAGAGACCCCATCCTTCTCTGCTTTCAGCTCACTGTCGGAGCCCTGGCAACACAACAAGATATTAAAAAAGACAAGACATTATCGCTTCACATGTGATGATTCTTTTGCTTGATACAAAGTGATAACTACTGTAGCCACAGCTACTGACAGAAGCCAGGCAATATGGCAGTATGTGCCATCGGCCCCTCCGACCACCACCAACCATTCTCACACACACAGACTCATTCTAGGCAATGTGGGTGAAGTGGCTTGCCTAAGAACACAACGACAGTTTGTCATATTACAGCCCCAGCTGCCCCACTGTGGCACCTGATGATCCCAGAGGTCTCCCATCCCAGTACTAACCAGGCCTTGCCCTGCACAGCTTCAGAGGTCTGACGGGATCCGGCTGTCGCATGAAAGTGTGGTAATAAAGTTATAATCTCCTACACAGAGGTCAAAGAAGGCACTCAATGTACAAGAAAATATTTTTTTGTCCACATATAAGCCGTCGATTTTCATGTTGTGAAATATAGAAGATAGACAACTGTTTTAACCGGTCACAGCATGATTTAATAATGTTTGACTACCTTTCACGTAATACATTTCAAAATACATTATTTTTCACTCTTTTCCTGTCCGTCTGTGTCTCCTGTATCATACATGTCTGGGGTTTGGCTGTAGATAGTGCTTTATTGAGCCAGCAGGTGGCAGCAGAGCTCTGTGGGTGTCTTGGTCAAAGATCACTGAGCAGTGTTAGCAGGAGAGACAGAAGCAAAGCAGGCATGGAGGAATATAGTCAAGGAAGTCAGGGAGAGGCATCATTTGGAGCCAGTTTGAGCAGTAAATGTGTCTCTAGAGCTGATAGAGATCATGTGTAGGGTCAGGGCAGCAGACCAGCGGTGCACCCCAAAAAGGCCACACAAAAGTGGGCTATTTCTAATACTATTACTGAGCCAGCGGCAAAGTTCGGTTATCGTCACAGCGCTCGCTGAACTAAACAGAACGAAACACTGTAGATGTAACCACATAAACACACACAAACACGCACATAAACGCACATTCATGCACAAGCAAACACACAAAGACACACAAAAATATTCTATTGCACTAATAGTATAGGTATATTCTGTTCACTTTGATTTATTGTCATTTATTGTGCTTTTCATTGTAATTTTGATAGCAACACCTAACGGATGAATACTAGCCATTCTTTCTGGCATAGTTTCTTATGGGCTCTACTTTCAATATGTAAATTGTGACGTTTTTTGGATGAGTTCTTTTTTAAATATTTGAGCAAGCAACACTTTGTGGATGTGGGTGTGTGTGCCATAAACCATTATTTTTCATCCAAAACACTTTCTTATAACTTTTTGTTGCTGTTTTTTAGCATGTAAGATACTGGACATGTTTGAGGATCCGCTGAAGTTGAACTAAATAGTGTTATAACACTTTTCTGCAGGTTTGTCTGTTTTCCCAAACACCTCATTTTCTCAGCTTTTTTTCTAATCTTTTTTTTTTTTACACTCCCCTCTTTTCGGTGATTACAGGAGAACAAAACAAGCTAGAAGATAAGATAGACTTTATTGATCTCACACAGGAGACATTTACAGAAACTTCTTTTTGCTGCTGAAAGTAAACAGTCCAGTCTTTCAGACTCTGGTTTCATATTCCTCATAGTCACAATATTCTGTGAGTCTTGAAAATCAGTGAAGTCATAAAAAATGTCTGGCAGTTAATGAGTTAACAGCTTAACTGTCAGCTTCCATGACTCATTCACCATCATCTATTTTGACAAAAAACAAGAGTCCTATAGTTACTAAAACTTGATGGAGTCAAAACAATAAGTCCATAGACTCTACTCTGACAACAATCCAAGTCTACCACAATAAAAAACACATATTAGCCGCATTGCTGTATAAGCTGCAGGGCTCAACGAACTAGAATAAAGTCGCGGCTTATAGTGCAGGAGTATACAGCAGTATATAGATCCGCTGGAAAGAAGTTCAGGCTATCGGTGGATGAACTCTACATCGAAGGTACACTACCGTAACTCTCAAATAAGTTATTGGCAACAGCGCGCACGCTGCACCAACGCTCCAGAGCTAACCAATGTAAACACTGTCCCACAAAGACGACGTCATCAGAACAACTTTAGTTGTCGCATTTTGTAATGATTATTTCTAATGATATTTACTAATTAATATTTTTTTAACGCGATTATTCACTTTCCTGTCTTAGCTCCCTAATATGACTCCTTAGCCACATCGTTTTTGTATAAGAATGTGAATAAACAAAATAATCTCTTTAATACATGTTGTCAGCCGCTGGTTCAAAACTACAGGTTATCTGGACATCAGCACAAACAGACATGTTACAGACTGCACCAGTCTGGGTCAGCTAGATGTAGCAGCAGAGTGACAAAGGAATGGGCAAAAGAGCTCTGGTCTTATACCAGACTAACCAAAACCAGATGTCTTTGGCTTCCTGCTTATTTAGACTAGTCTTTCACTCATGGGGGATGGGTAGAATGCTGCTGATGCGTCCCATCACATGAGTTAACCCAAAGCTGTCTAAACTTTGAATATATTCTAATTCACTTTAATGAAAATCCAACAACTCTACTATCAAAGAATTATTATTATTATTAATAATCATATTAATGCTATAATTATTTAGTTTTCCCCCACTTTTATTATCTCTTAATATTTTCTCTTTTGCGGCCACGGGGGGAGGTTAAACCTTCCAATTGCCTTCACCTGCGATTTTGGACTCAATTCCTGAGCTACCGAAAATCATTTTTATTTGATTTTGTATTTGTAACATCTCCCTATTTTGGTCCCCAGTTTATTATCCTGGTTATTTACTTTTTTATTATTATTGTTATTATTATTTGTTTTATTGTTTTCCCCACTTTCTCTGCCTCTCACTACAAACGCTTTCAATGACTCACACATCCTCTCTCTCTGTCCCCCACCACACCCATACATGAGGCTCCCATCAAAGTCAACACACTTACAAACACACACACTCACACATACGCCCACATAATTATAACAGAATGTAGAATGGGAACTGTCAAATTAGTGTCATGGAACATTAGGGGTTTAGGTAATCAGAGGGAAAAAAAGATTTTAGACCATTTATCCAAGCTTAAATCGTCAAATACGCTGATGACACCACCATCATTGGTCTCATCAGAGACAATGATGAATCCTCTTATAGAGCAGAGATCGAACATGTTTTTCAGTGGAGTAAAGTAAACAATCTCCAGCTGAACACAGCAAACACATGTGAACTCGTTTTTGATTTCAGTCGTAACAGTTCTCACACTCCTGTTGTTATCGACAACTCCCAGGTGCAGATTGTAGAGGAGTGCAAGTTCCTGGGTTTAGCTCTGTCTAAAAACCTGAAATGGGACAAAAATACTAACCGGGTTGTTAAGAAAGCTCGTCAGCGGCTCTTCTTTTTGCGGAAACTACGAGAATTTACCACCAACTCTAAGATTCTGCTTAACTTTTATCGCTGCACCATTGAGAGTTTACTTGTTGGTTCTGTGACTGTGTGGTTTGGTAACATCACAGATAAAGGAGAGCTTTAAACAAGGTGCTCCGTTCTGCAAAGAGGACCGTGGGCTGTGAGTTTCCTGTTCTGGAGGTTCTTTATGAATCCAGACTTTTAAACCGTGCTCTTAAAATCATCAATGACTCTTCTGGCCACCTTGGGAAAGCCATGTTCCAGCTTCTTCCCTCGGGCAGAAGATATCGGTCGCTGAGATGCAGGACATCTCGCTATGCTAACAGCTTATTTTCACAAGCTGTTAGGTGCCTAAACAGAGCACTTTCATTCTACCTCTTGTATCGTTTTTGTTGATCGTGCCACAGTGTCAGCTGTTTTATTTTTTTATTTTCAGTGTATGTGTATTTTATATTACATTGTATCGTGCTCTTTATTCTGTTGGTGCACACAGAGTACCTTTTTTGAAAATGTATTCCAATGTAGTTTTTATACTGCACATGGCTAATAAAATGAATCTGAATCTGAAATCTGAATAAACATCTCCATCAACAATACACCCCTCACAATCGGTAACGTATATGGCCCAAACACAGATGACCCAATATTTTTTCAAACCCTTTTCGCACAAATCCAACACTTCTCAAACTATCCAATTATACTAGCTGGTGATTTCAATACAGTTCTCGATCCCTCCATGGACAGATCAAATAATACAGTCAAAAGGCCCTGGCAATCTACAGAAACCATCAATTTCCTGGAACTTCTCACCTCACCCCAAACAGCCAACAAGATGGCGTTTCAACACAGACCCAAACTTCGACAGTTTTTTCAAAAGAGAGTGGGCATCCTTTGCAGAGACCAACGACTCCCCGGGGTCATCACCCTCACTCCTGTGGCAAACAGGAAAGGCAGTTCTAACAGGCCGAATTATTTAGTTCTCTGTCCACAAAGCTAGAAAAAAAAAAGAATTAGAAAACAAGTTAGAACATGACAAATACACTGGAACAAACGAACATGATCAACCCAACAGAAAACCAGGAAAAAGAGATAAAAATATTGAAACTAAAATTAAATGAAAAAACAAATAAGCGAACTCAATTTCTTATCCAAAGACTCCGACAAGAACATTCACAATACAACAATAAATCAGGAAAATACTTGGCCAACCAGATCAAATTGAATAAAGAAAAAACATCAATCCCCATCATTAAAGGACAACTCACCCTCAAATCCACTTTTTTTTGCTGATAAAAACGGTATAAATGAGTGTCCAATAGTGTTGTCTACATATCCTGGTCATAATTTTGTCACTTTGGTGCAAATTAGTTGAAAGTTAAACTTTCTGCCTAAAACTGTCTGTGAGGCGCCATCTGCTGGCGACCTGTATTACTACATTTGAATTTTGAATCTGGCACCAACACTGGCGTGCCAGCAAGACCTGACGTCTGAAGCAAGACCTGACGTCAGCAACCCCCCGCCCAGAGCAATGTAAACGGCCCAGTCTCGTTCACGCCCCCTTTAGTCCTCCAGGCTACGCCCATTTA